AAAAAAAAAAAAAAAAAAAACCTGTATCAAACTATCACATGGTATCCCACAAATATGTGCCATTTTAAATATATCAAAAGTTAGTGAGGGAAAAGGAATCTTAATTGCTCCAAAGGGGTCTGTGGAACCCCTAGGGGTTCCCTGGGAAACCAAGTTTGAAAACTATGAACTCTGTCTAAAACCTTGTCCAGTTCTGTGATGGAGAAAGCACACGCTAGATGCAGAGAGAGGCCAAGGCTAGCTCCAGGCTATACCTGCTTGCCTGGCCCAGGTTTTTGTTCCCCACAGGCCAAAGCACTAGATCCCCACTGACTCATGGATAAGGCAGAGGAGGTTGGGGGTGACTGATGGGTCTGTCCTGTAAGTGTCCAAAGTGCCCCTGGAACAGAGACCTGGCCCCAGGGACTACACTTACCTGAGCTTCTGCCACAGCCAGATGAGGACAGCCGATTGCTGCCCCTGCTGGTATGCCTGCGATTCCTGTTCGTGCCTCTCTTCATGCTGTGCCATGTGCCCGAGCGAGCACGGCTACCCATCCTCTTCCGGCAGGATGCCTATTTCATCACGTTCATGCTGCTGTTTGCCATCTCCAATGGCTACCTGGTGTCCCTCACCATGTGCCTGGCGCCCAGGTCTGGGGGACTATTGGGGCACATGCTGGGACTAGGGAGGGGGCTGGTTGTTGGAAAAGGGACAGCTATGAGGGAGGGGGACTTTTGCCCTGGCCAGCTCAGTTTGTCCCATACCTGGAGCTACAGAGATACCTACCACAGTAGCCCAGGAACTGGTTCTGGGGCTGCCTCCATAGCCTCAGTTTCTCCATCAGTATATCAAAGAGTTGGACTGTCATCCCTCAGAACACATCTAGCTCCAAAATTCTCTGTTGAAGGAGAACTGGTTTTGATCAAAAGCAGGGTTTGGGGATTGTTTCCTCCAGAAGCAATAGAGTTGAGAATCTCAGGAGAGGAAAGGTAACAGGAGGGTCAGCTTAGGGACATTTTGTCAAGAAAACTGAGGGATGGCTTTGTCCAGTGACCTCATTTTACAGATGGACAAACTGAGCCCAGAGAAGGGCCAGATTGCAACGACACAGGGCTGGGGCTAAGGGCTTTGGGGCTACTCCAGATCTGCGCCCAGTGTTTTCTAAGCATTTCTACTTCTGTGTATTCTAGGCAGGTGCTGCCACATGAGAGGGAGGTGGCTGGTGCCCTTATGACCTTCTTCCTGGCCCTGGGACTCTCCTGTGGTGCCTCTCTCTCCTTCCTCTTCAAGGCGCTGCTCTGAAGGGGACATCAGGGCTCCCCACAGCCCTCTTCTCATTGCCCTTCTGCAACTGAGACCGACCCAGACCCAAGAGAAGGAACAGGCCAAACTCAGGCCTCTGCTGAGCCTGGGCCCTTCACCTATATGTGGTCAGAATGGGCAGAAGCTGCTCTCCATCCCCAGCTGGTGGCCACTTGTGTTCTATAAGAAACAGCCCACCACAGGGCGTCCTGTCCTTCACCAGGGATGGGCTAGGGTGAAGAGGGACAGGCTTTACTGAAGTGGGTGATCAGGGAAAAGGGCACAGGGCCAGGGCTCTTCCTGCCATAGGACTGCACCTGTTCACCCAGAAGCCACTTGCTGAGACTCAGGCGCAGAGCTGCCTACCAGTGGGGCTGCTGAGGGTGCGGCCGATACGACCTGGGGCGGTTGGCGGGGGACAGGCAGGAGTCCCTGTGGTCCCATCCTTCCCGCCCAGAGCCAAGCGTGCTAGGGAAGTTTTTTGGGGGGTGTCTCTGAGGGTGCTCAAAGGGCCAGGCTCTGACCCTCAAAACAGTGTTTTCATGGCCAGCACCTAGTCCTTACTCCCCAGAGACCAGCTGGGCCCAACTTCCAGAATGACAGCCTGCATGTGGGGGGAGTACACTTTCCAGTTTGTAAAGGTTCTTTCCCTTCCCGCCCTCCCCAAGCCTTACTGAGGCCTTGAGAGAAGTTGAGCAGGGGTCTGTCACCCTATTGCACAGGTGAGGAAAATGAGTCCCAGGAGGAGTGAGTGGTCCATGGTAGAGCAGGGACACTGGCCCCATCTCTCCATGCCCTGCAGGTGCTATTTCTCCTATGTGTCACCTGCTCCTCAAGGGGCTCAGGACAGGAGCCCTAAGCATATATCCCACCTTTTCTCCCCAATTCTTCCAGATTGCCTGCTGCTGCTCCCAGATCTAATTATAGCCCTTTGTTTGTATGATGTGTTCAGTGTTTCTTTCCAAAGCATTGGCTCAGCTGGTCTCAGCGAGCTGGGTGGGGTAAGGGTGACTGACGCAAGATAATGACTGTGGTAGTTGAAATAGTCCCCATGGCAGACCCTCCAGGGAAGGTTCATTCCGTGGACCACTGTTCACAGATACCTGCCCTGGGCCAGGCCTTTGCTAGCTTGGAGACCCTGAAAAAGGGAGTTGTTCTCGCTCCCAAAGCCATGAGAAGCAATTAGCCTGTGGTGGGGCACATGAGGGTCTCCAGAAGCCTGTCAGACAGGAGTCCAGAAGAGGGCGCTGCTAACCCTACCTGAAGAGCAGGGCAGGCAGTCTGGGGAATGCTTTCCCCAACTGAGTCTTCAAGGACAAAAATGAGTTCTTGGTTGAGCTGGAGGTGCTAAAGTATATAAAAGGCACAAACATGGAATATCCAATAGGGACTTCTACAGGGGTCCCAGGAGACAAAGGAGGGGCAGGAAAGAATGAGATGAGAGCAGTGGTTACAGTCAGGTGATGGAGGGTCTTCTGTGTAGGATTAAGAGGCCTCGCTTCATCCTGTAGCACTGAAGGACAGGGTCAGATCTGTACTTAACAAGGAGCCCTTGGGCTGCATGGGGCAAAGGCAGAGGTCATGGCTGGGTTGGTTCTGGCAGGCAGAGGGAGGCCAGGACAACGGATGGAAGGCATGGAGTGCCATGGTTAAGGTCAGACAGGCTGGCCCAGCTTCCTAAGATCCAGACCTTTACTAGTGGGGACCTGGGACCTGCCTGAGCATGGAGTACTGGAGGAAGTCAGAGCTAGAGCTCAGGCACACGATTCTGGGCCAAATGAGCTGGAGTCCCAGGACTCTTGCAGAGACCTCTAGACTTGGTTGGACCATCTGACTGGGACTTGGAGAACAGGACCAACATTTGGCAGGTACCCTTCTCCTTCACTTCTGAGACAGTTGTTTTACCCCCAGTGCTCCCTAGGCCTGCTTTGGCTTTGTGGTCATTAGAGTTGCCATGTTATTTTATTTTTGTGGGGTTTTTTTTTTTTTTTTTTTTTTTTGGTACCAGGATTGAACTCAGGACCTTGTACTTGCCAGGTAGACACTTAGCCACTGAGCTATCTCCCCATCCCTATCATGCTATTCTAGATGAAGTCAAGTAGCATGTTTATTTGCTTTCTTGCTTTTTCTTCTCAGGGCTTCTTGGCAAAAGCATATTTACCTGAGGTTACCTGGCTAAACCCCCTTTTCTTTAGAAGCCTAAAGACTTTATAGGATCCAGGAAGATAGCTCAGCAGCATAAACATTTGCCTGGCAAGCATAAGATCCTGACTTTGATGTCTGGTACTACAAAAAAAATTAAATAAATAAATAAAAATAAAAAGACTTTATGAAGCAGAAGTTCTGGGCACTAATATCCCCATTTTACAGATGAGTAAACCAAAGTTGTTCTGCAAGACTGTAAGTAGTGATATAGAATATTCCAAGGACCCGCCCCTTTAAAGAAACACTGAACAGATAAGCAAGAATTGTTGGAATTAACTTCATTAGAACTCAGCTAGGAAATCATCTAAGCTTACATCATCAAGTGAATGTTGGATCAGGAAAGAAGCAACTAAAAATGATAGGAGAGTTTTGCAGCACTTTATTTTTCCTTGCCCTCTTCCTTTTCTGGGGTTGGTGGTGGCTGTCAAGATGGGATTCCCAGGGCAGGACCGTGGTCCCTAATTCTAGAGGGAGCAGAACAGACCTTGTTGTAAAGCAATGATACTGAGCTGTGTGGGCCTGCTCAAGTGCTACAAGCAGGGCTGACACCAGCCACTTGGGCTTGTTGTAGAGTGTGCATATTATTGCGTGCCTGTAGTCCTAGCATTCCTGGAGGCTGAGACAAGAGGTTTTAAGTTCAGTTGAAGCCAAGCCTGGGGAACTTAGTGACATAGGAAGATGTTGTCTCAGAATAAAAACTTTATAAAAGGGCTGAAGCTGGAGCTAGTGCAAAAGCCCTGAGTTCAATCCCCATATATACCACAACAAAATCAGTCAATCCCAGGATGGAGAGCCTCTACTCAGAAGGAGAGCAGTTCTCCAAAACACTGAAAGGCAAATCAACAACCCATACTGTCTGGAGAAAAGACGATAGATAAGACAGACAACAGACATGCTGAAAAGTCTGGGGGGAGAAGCTGGTGAGAGATTTTTTGAGAAAATGAAAAGTTGGGGCTAGTGAGATGGCTCAGTGGTCTAAAGCACCTACTTAGAACAAGCTTAGCAAAGCACAGGGACCGTGGTTCAATCCCCCAGCACCACATGCCAGCCAACCCCGCCCCCTGGTGGGCTGAGCTGGCCACACGCACACACACACACACAAAAGAAGAAAGAAAGAAAGAAAGCCTTAAAAAAAAAAGTCAAGAAATTAAATAATAAATAAATAAATGTTTAAAAAAAAAAAAAGAAAGAAAAAGTTTCCTCCAATTTCAGGGAATTTAGCCTGGGCATGGTAGCACCCACCTGTAGTTCTTTCTAACACTGAGGAGGCTGAGGCAGAAAAATTGCTATGAGTTTGAGATCATCCTGGGCTGCATAGTTTAAGACCAATCTGAACTACATACCAAGACCCTGTCTAATTTAGAAAGTCATATGATACACACAATTGAATACTATTCAGCCACAAAGAGGGATAAATTTATTTATTTATTTATTTATTTATTTATTTATTTATTTATTGGTGGAACCAGAGATTGAACTCAGGCCCTTGCGCTTGCCAGGGAAGCACTTATTCCACTGAGCCATCTCCCCAGCCCCTAAGTAATTTTTAAAAAATGGATGCACTACAAGATCATAATGCTAAGCCAAATAACTCAGACATACAAAGTTAAACATTGCATGACTTCTCATATGAGAAACACAAATATAATTTAAAGAGCAAACAAATGATAGAAAAATGGACATAGACCTTTTGCAGACGGGAAGGAAATCCAGGGATGGAGGACGAGGGTAAGGGAGAAAGGGAAAGAGAAATAAAGCAAATAAAGCTAAGATCAGATAAATTTCCCATGATGAATGTGTCCACTATGTACCCACAACATGTACTACTAATAAAGTCCTACAAATGATGGCAAAATACATGTTTAGAGGAGACCTGAGAAGACCCTATATTTTCTGATCTTTAGGACCACACAAGTGGGAAGTGAGGGCTAAGGCCAAGTTGTAAACAGCTAAACTAGATGTTGAAAGAGAACTCCAGGGCTGGTCAGATAGCTCAGTGGACTAAAGTGCCTGCTTAGGTAGAGCACATGTGCCTGGGGTTCAATCCCTGCTGTGCTATGTAGTGAGACCCTGTCCTAAGTTCATTGAGAGAGACAGAGAACTCCAACAGAGGGAAAGCTGCAAAGGCTGGGTGAAATTTTCTTTTTATTCTTTTTTTATATAAATTTTTTTTAAA